GGCACAGCACACATCATGGTCTGCTTCTTTGGTTGTCCATGTCTTTACCTCTTGGAATCCATAGCAGTCAAGGTGTTGCCTTGTGCTGAAAAAGCACTCAATAAATGCCTGCTGGCTTTCCTTCTCAGGGTCCATGGCTATTGTTAAGGGAAGAACAGTTTTCTTGCCTGTGTTTAGAAAGAGTAGCATGAAGTATGAGCAAGAGCCTGCTACTTAAGTGTCAAGTATCAGCTGAAGCTCACAGAGAATGTATACATCTAAAAACCAGAGCTCATACTGAAATCTGAAACAAAGGGCTTACATTCATCTGTGATATGATCCTCTCACCATTTTCACAGGGAGACTAGTGTATTTAAAATAATTGAAGGCAATCCTAAATATTCTGTCCAAAAAGCCATATTTAATTCCTGACACAGGAACAAGTTTCTAACCCATATTCACAGTTAAGGGAATGATTTCTCACATCCACAGATGGGGGTAGGGGAGACTCTGCACACAGAAGTAATATTCCCTGCTGCTATTAGGCTATTCATAAATCATAGTGATTAAAATGCATAGTTATACTTCTTAATTTAATAGCACCCTTGAGGAATAAATGTGATGGAAACATAAACCATGCATCGTCTGCCTCCAGAATAAAACTTTCAACATTTTCCTAATGCCAGTGTGGCAGGTTTTCCATTTTTGCCCCTACATGAAACAAAGTTTTACCATCTGGGGACTGGGGACTTTTTACACAATATAGCTTTGAGAATCCTTTTTAAAAAAACAGTTATAGATGTACCATAATTATCTCCATGTGAAAGAGAAGAGCAAACGCCCACAATTTCAGGTCAGGCATCATGCAGGTCTATTTCAGCTGTCCATGGAGCCCTTACTAAATAGACATCAGCATAGTCATTTTACAGGGCTGCCACAGATACACATCTCTCTGGCATGGCCATTCATTCCACTTAAGCAAAACCAATAATAGGGCAAATTTGCAATTTAGCTGCAAAACAGTGGCCAAAAGAATCTTATTACAAAATCAAAGTACCTTCTTCTGGGAAAATGGGTAGATGGGGTCTATAAATCTGTAAGCAAGCAGACAGTCACTTAGTATCTTATTCCAAGACAACAGCAATTCTTGCCCTAATGCTGCAAAGATCAGTGTGTATTGCACAAACACAAGAACTGGGGCAAGAGAAGACTGTTGGGATGTAGGTTGCATGTAAATAAAAGACTGAATCATTTTTATTGCTGGCTCTAGAATCTAGTTACATCAGAATGTAATAGTAGAATTAATGTAACCATGAACTAAATTTCTCATTTTTAAATATTTTATTGTATTATAGCAACATTAATAAAATTACAAATAAAATGTACTCAGAATCTCATGACTTCAACAAATCAAATTTCATTTATTTGTCCATTATTACTTCTAGTCTCTTATTAATATATCTAACTTTTGCTTAGCTTAAAGAACGCTGCAGTTAAAAGGTATTTGATATTTTAAATCAATACAGAATGTTTAGAATGTTTTAACCTTACTATTTTAACCCGGAGGATGTTTAGGCTTTATCAATAAAAATACTTTTCTGAGAATTAAAGCAAGATTAAATGCCATTAAAGAAACATGATCATTTGATTAACTACCAAGACTGCGTAAGTGAATTGTTGTCAGTGTTTCCTTTTCATTGGGACCAATTCTTGTCCTTGTAAATTTTGCAACATAAATTTGATTCACTGATTTTTTTTTGATTCCTATAAAAATTTAAATTTTTACCCCATCACCATGTCTGCCCCTGAGCATTTTCTGAAGTGACCATTATTTATTCCCAGGCTCATATTCTTATGAGAAGTTTTAACTATTCCCAGTTTTATTTTAGATATTTCATTTCCACCAACTCTAATTTTTCCTAATAATGCACCCAACAAACATCATTGTGGCTAAAATGGCAGAGTCAAAATACCTGCTCTCTTTATATATACATTATATAATAAGACTTTCCTTTTGTTTTTCATAGGGTTGATTGTAAATGACTAAGATGTCCCTTACAGCCCTAACTGAGAAGATAGAGCATTGGCTGCTTAGATGCAACACACACTGTTCCTCCAGGTTTTCAGCTGATGCTTTGAGACCCATCTCCTCTTCCCTTTTAAAAACAACTGAGGTGGGGCAAGGCAGGGTTAGACTTACTCTATGAACCCTCCAGTGGGGGGAAATAAGACCCGTGAGTCATATTTTTCTGAAAGTTACTTACAGGCAGGTGTTGCTTCTACGTTGATACAACTTGGAGAGGAATATTCCAGCAAGAGTTATCAAAGGAGAGAGTATGTTTCCTAAGAAAAGTGACAGTCCTATTTCTAAAAAAAGTAAAAGAATGGTTCCCAACTTGAGTGCCCGTCAGAGATGATGGAACATGAAAATACTGCCCATATTGTCTTCCTGAAACTTCCTTGCTTTGCTTTCCACATTTAGGGCATGGTATAAGTAGGCCCACTTTTCTTTCTTCCAGATGGCTATAAAACTGTCCCAGCATCATTATGAAAATGTCCATTCTTCCCTCACTGCTCTGAGATGCCACCTTTGTCATAAAATAGCTGTCCTTCTGTGTCTGTCTGTTTCTGAGTTCTGTGTTCTGCTCCATTTGTCTATTTACTCTTTTCTTGCACCAAAGGGCACTCTTATTTCCTGTAGCATTATAGAAAGACTTCCCATGTGGTAGAGCAATGGGAACCACTTCCCATGTTGTAGGCCTGTCACCTTCTGTCACCAGTTCTTTGTGTTAATATATACCAGTTTCATTGATTTAAGACACAGTTTTTTCAAACGGCCTTTTCTGTTAGGCAGAGTGAGCTTCGTTGCATGTGTTTATTTATGCTCTGCTGAATACCTCTCAATGACCTTTACTTGTGTGTCAAATGTTCATAATGCACCATCCACTGCCCAGAACCATGGGTACACAGGTGGAGATATGGAACAACAGGCCGTGAGCTTTAGAAGCAGGTCAACCCTAGCTTTGTCCAGTCCTAGATGTGCTCCTCTGGCGATTTAACCTCTCTGCTCAACTCCTCATTATAAATGCCATTTTCATACCAATTTCCCATAGTGTTATGGGAGGATTTTCAAAAATACAGGTGAAGCTTGTTGCATAATGCCTGGCACACAATAAGATTCCAATTTTTAAAAACGAAAGCTACTGTTATTATTTCATGGCGAATTTTTCACTTTCTCCCTAGCCAAGATTAAGTCAGTGAGAAATCACAGGTGTTTCATCTTGCATCTCTGGGCACTTTTCTGAACCAAACACCTAAAGATTAATGTATTTTTTATGGTCATTTCACTGACTCAATCATGTGACTGTATGTCAAGCAATAAACATACATTTTCCTTTGGAGCACCTCTCAGAGTTCATTTTTATCATTGCAGGAGGCCAGAAGGTAAAGTGAGAGGGTTAGCACAGGCCAGCTGTCCAGGATGAGGCAGAAGAAAGGGTCTGAGGACCTGCATGTCCTATCCCACATGACTAAAACCTGACAAATCCCCAGTGTTTATATATTTCTCAGGGCATGAGCTCATCTCTGCACAGCATTTTCAGGAACAAACTGACACCCACAATGTCCTGTGTAGCTGCGGTGATGGATGTGTGAGCATGTATCCTGCATCCCTACCAGAGCTTGTGTGTTGTGCTGGTGGCAGGGGACCTGACATGGTTTGTGGCTATGCCTTTAATCTGCTTTGTCCCTAGCCCAGACCAGCCTTTTCTTCTAAGTTATTCCCCAGGAGCCTGGTGAACCCCCTCAGCTGCAGTGGACAAAGGAGGGCTGCCATTCAGCTGCTCTGGAACATGCATTTCATTTCCCCATAGCAGCCCCCATTTCTTTGGGTGTCCTATGCCCCCCCACCTTTGTGCCTTGTGTTTAATTCTCAGTGATCCTACCTCATAGCCCCAGGGGCTTCTGCAGCTCTAGAGGTACCTGGCAGTGACCTGGCTCGTATTCTCCATAGCTCATAGGAACCTGCAGTTATCTCCTGCAGCCACAAGAGACCACAGAAAACTCCGTAGGCTGCAGGTAAATGCCATGGCATTCCACGCACAGAAGGTTCACAGGTGCCTGAAACCAATGCTTTTACATCCACTGTGTTAAAGGCGCAACCTGTTTCCATGACAAGCATTGGCAAAACAGTTTCCATAGATTTTCCCATGAGAACATTTTGTTTCTGAAGAAGTTATGATCATTAGACTTAGGTGGATGTTAATGAAAATAAGAGACAACTATGAAGTTACATATGAAAGTCAACTTTCCAGAGGCTGGTCAGAGCTTTGACCTAATTTTAAATAAGACCAGATTTTCCATCTGAAATTTATTTGAAATAAAAAAACATGTCCCTTTTTTTCTACACTAGTGGTAAGTATGCTTTCCTGTAATGCAAACTTGTTTTCTTTGCCAACTGCATGGTTAAGAGTTTGCACCTGTTACTTTACTTGAATTGATTCAGCTCAAGGAGACCTGCCTCGTGATTTTTTCTTTGTAGTCAAAGTACCCCAGAACAATAATTCCTCTTGCTTTGCAAACAAAAAGCTTTCTCTCTGACAATGGAGTATGATTAGTAAATGCTTTCTTTTCATATATCTGACAACTGCATTTCAACACACACAATATTAAGATGGTCAGCCGCCGCAAAAAGCTAGTATTTCTACTGGGCATAATCTGTGAACATTTATGACACACAGAACTTACATAATGTTAGCATATGTAATCCTTGAGAAATATCTTCCCTTCACCCACTGTTGATTCCTAAAGTCATTAAAAGGAGCAGAGCAAGGCAGCACCTGTAGCTGGTGAAGTAAGCGATACCTAAGGCCCAGGTGGAGTGATTGGGGTGCCTGGTAGAGGAGGCAGGGATTAGAAGGAGTGGCTGGAAGGGAGTTTGTTATTGTATTAGTCCGTTTCCACATTGCTATGAAGAATTTCCTGAGACTGGGTAATGAAGAAAAGAGGTGTAATTGACTCACAGTTCTGCAGACTTAACAGGAAGCATGGCTGGGAGGCCTCCCAGAAGATGAAGGAGAGGCAAGGACCTTCTTCACGCTGTGGCAGGAGAAATAAAGTGAGGGGGTTAAGTACCACACACTTTTAAACCATCAAATCTCGTGAAAACTCACTCACTATCACGAGAACAGCATGGGGGAAACTGGACCCATAATCCAATCACCTCCCATCAGACCCTTCTCCCAACATACGGGGATTACAATTTGAAATGAGATTTGAATGGAAACACAAATCCAAACCAGTATCAGTCGTTTTCTTTTTTTTTAATGTTGTATCCGTTTAATGCTTGACCTGATTTTGAGGCTAGAGGCTGGTCAGTTCCCTTCCTGAGCAGCTAATTAAGTCCACACCCCAACCAGTTCCCTTATCAGGCTCTCATCGTCAGTGTCCACTATATGCCAGCCTTAATGGCTCCGGGGCCAGGTACCAGACAACTAGGATATGCCCACAGAATTATTCAAGCTAGCCAATCCACAGGGAGGCTGCGAGACCTAGCTAGCCTCCCTCCCCACCCAGCTTACCATGCATAGGCTGTCCCTGCAATGCCAGCTTGCTGTTACCCTGTCCCCAGGGGCAATGTCCCAATGGCCCTATCTGGCAGCCTTCTTTCATTTGGAACTGTAACCAAGAGTTCTTCCCATCATCCAGCTGAGTGCCAGGGTGTTGTGGACATGAAAAGAATCTTTAATCCTATAGGCCAGTGGTTGAGTGTGACGTTTCTGAGCCTGAGTGGGTGTGAAGGCTGCACAAACAGGAGTGGGCACCTTGAGGCATGAGGGGGGCCCTGGTGGTGTGTGGAGGGTCTCCTTGTGGCTGAGCATCTCATCACAACCTATCAGAACCAAAGAGAGGAAGCAAGGCATCTGCAGGAGAGGGGTGATGGGAGATGGAAGAAGGGAAGTCTGGTCTGAGGCATATGGAAACATCCCATCTTTTCTTAGTTACCATTAAAAGAAAGAGCATGTTGATTTGGGAAACAGCATACATGATTCTTGGCTTTTTTCTTCCATTTTTGTGAGTGCAAAATTGTATGTACGAGTCTCAGGAATTTTGCCCCCTTTTTTTGAGACCAAGTTTTGCTCTGTTGCCCAGGCTGGAGTGCAGTGGCATGATCTCAGCTCACTGCAACCTCTCCCCTTCTGGGTTCAAGCAATTCTCATGCCTCAGCCTCCCACATAGATCCTTTCCTCCTTTCTGAGGAGGAAAGAGATTCAGGATGATGGGAGTCGGGTGGGCATGGGAGCTCCAAGCATGCAAAGGAGGAAACAAGAACAAACTTGTGGTGCTGTGTTGAAACTGAAGATATTGGGGTGAATTCACACTTTTCAATATCTACAGATATATTAAGTTGGTGCAAAAGTAATTGTGGTTTTTTTAATTTAAATTAAATTTAATTGCAGTTTTTAATTTTTTCATTAAAAGTAATTTCCATTACTTTTAATGGCAAAAACTGCAATTACTTTTGCACCAACCTAATATAATAGAAAGGATATAACTGAATGTGTGACATACGTATGAGGTGAATACTTACATTCCTGATGCTGTTCTTGGAGAGAAACTGAAGCAGAGATACCTCAGGATAGGAATGAGCATGCCAGGCACACACATCTTTGTTTATAAATACTCTCCACCAGAAAGAAGACATCCTCTTTGAAGAAAGGCTGATTCCAGGGCAGTGGCAGGCAAAGTACAGGATGAGTCTGGACCACCTTATTCCAAAAGGAAAGGAAGTGTCCAGAGAGTGATGAGGACACATCAGAGAACATAGAACACAGAAGCCAGCTCGCCAGGGTTTCTGCCAGTGAGATCTGAGAAAATCTGAGCACAAAAATAAATAATGATAACTGATTACAACGCAATGAGAAAAAAACCTTATGCTATACTGATAGAAACAAATAAATATGTTAAAAGTTTGTTGATGAATAGAACAGTTACCTAGTTTCAAAGTACCTCCCACAAAATAATCATCATGAAGGTGGGAAAAGTAACTTCAGACACCGTTGTCATCCAGGGGCTGCAGGGAACAATTTGGTAAGGGGACAAATTGAAATCCTATGGCCCCTGTTAGACCACAGTGAGAACACAGTACCACTTCTGCACTATTTCTGACAAAGATGCTATATGAGTCTGTGCTATGAAGAAATACCTGAGACTGGGCATTTTATAAGGGAAAGAGGTTTAATTGACTTACAGTTCTGCATGTCTGGGGAGGCCTCAGGAAACTTACAATCAGGGTGGAAGGGGAAGCAAACGTGTCCTTCACATGGCAGTAGCAAGGAGAAGTGCAGAACAAAGTGAGGAAGAAGCCCCTTATAAAACCATCAGATCTCATGAGAACTCACTAACATGAGAACAGCATGGAGGTAACTGTGATTCAGTAACCTCCCACAACACGTGGGGATTATGGAAACTACAATTCAATATGAGATTTGGGTGGGGACACGGCCAATCAATATCAAATGCATAACATCAGACAAGCTCATATTGAGGGACGTTCTATTAAATAACTAGCCTGTGACATTCAAAAGTATCAAAGTCGTTAAGAGTCAAGAAGCCTGGTGAGCCATTCCAGAGTGAAGGGAAGGAGAGCCACAGACCACCCAAACACAGCACCTGATCCTGAACTGGACCTTGTGCTATGAGGTCATTGTTGGGACAGCTGGGGAAAGGTGAATGGGGTGTCTAAGCATGAGATCATCGTTGTCAGTTGTGTTGATTTCCTGATTGTGGTGGCTATGATTATGTTATTAGGAGACTATCCTGGTTTGTAGGAAATACACATTAAAGTATTGAGAGGTGATGGGGCAAACTGCTGGCAACTTACTCTCAAATGATTCAATCATTAAAAAAAGTTATTTGAACTACAATTGTAATAGTTCTGTAAGTCTGAGAGTGCTTCAAGAGACAAAACTAAAAATAAATGTCAAACCGAACCTCTTGATTTAAATAAAAAATTGTCTTGGCATTTAGGAACCTGGAGAAAGCTTTTTTTTTGAAACAGAGTTTTGCTCTTGTTGCCCAGGCTGGAGTACAATGGCATGATCTCAGCTCACTGCAACCTCTGCTTCCCAGGTTCAAACAATTCTCCTGCCTCAACCTCCGAGTAGCTGGGATTACAGGAATGTGACACCACACCCCGCTAATTTTGTAGTTTTGGTAGAGACAGGGTTTCACCATGTTGGTCAGACTGGTCTCAAACTCCCGACCTTAGGAGATCCACCTGTCTCGGCCTCCCAAAGTGCTCGGATTATAGGCATGAACCACCGTGCCCGGCCAGAAAAAGACATTTTTTAATGCATCCTAAAGTAGATTTACCAGTTGCTTCCAAACTGCTGAAGTTTGGAAAGCTCTGGTCACCTGAACACTACTAAATTACTTTCCCCTAAGATCCTTTGTTCCATGTCCTGGTCCACTTCCCTTTCTCACACCCTTACTCATAGGACGCCAAGAGCACACAAATGTTACTTCTGCTCAGATTCCCACCACAATCTCCCACCTGTTCCCTCTGCCTTTACATCCTCCTGCACCAATTCATCCTTTGCCATCTATGTGGAAACCACATGTCTGAACAATGAGAGGACGTTTTGGCCAAATGGAGGTGGAGTAGTTAAGAAACAAAATTTTCATTTATATTCTTATTTATATAGTCCTATTACTTGGATGTATTACCTTTGTATATGAAAACAAAGCAAAACATTTAAGAGTTGCCGATCATGTAAAGAATCGAGTCCAACTCTATCTGGACATGCTGGTCCCTTCTCAGCATGGCCCAAGCTGTGGCAAGTCTACCTTCCCCGGGCTATAACCATAGCAAGCCCCTCTCCATGCCCTTCACACAGGGGGCTCTTGCACAACCCCGGGCTCTTGTGAGATGGGAGAATTCTCCTGTAAAGAAACTGGCAGTCCTAAAGAACAGACTTCCTAATACTCATGTTTGGAGATCCCAGTACCAAACACGGTGCAGGGCCCAATTACTCTAGTGTAGCCAACAGTTGACAAGTGGGTCCCCTTGGCAGAGCTCCTGCTGAGCTTCTAAGGGCCTCAGTCTTAAATATGAGCAGACAGCAGAAGCTCCAACAGGCAAGCCTGAGAGCAAGGCAAACAGACTGACAAAGCCTGAATTCCACAAAAAAAGAGCATGGGAAGACGTGAAAACCTTTATTTTTTTATGTTAACTTTTTATTTTGAAAAAATTTCAGGTTTACAAAACAGATGCAAACATATGACAAAGATTTCCCATATGTCCTTCATTCAGACTTGCCAAATGTTGATGTCACATTTTGACATTAAAATCAGGAAATGAACACTGACATGCTATAATCTATAGCCCCTCTTCACATTTCACCTGTGGTTCCATTAGTGCCATCTCCTGATCCAGAATCCCATCTGAGATCACGTGTTGCTTTCATCTGCCCCTCCAGTCTAGGAGACATAGCCTTTTATGACCCTGACACTTTTCAAGAGGAATGTAGACAACAAGTACAAATATAAGTGCAGAGTTTCCTTCAACCTGTATTTGAAGTTTCCCCATGGATCAACCCTGTTAAACATTTTTGATAAAATGCCACAAAAGTGATGCGATGTCTTTCTCATGGCATGATCAGGAGGCAATCTTCTGCCCTTTACTGTGCTGCTCAGCACTGGTTAAGGTACTGTCCTAAGCTCCTTCACTGTGAAGTTCCTACTCTTTCCTTTGTAGCCAACATTATTTTATGGCATAAAACTGACACAAATGTCAATATCTCCTTTTTCATCATACTTTTACCCACATATTTTAGGGCTACTGAAGATTCTTGCCTAAGACTATTACTACTATGTTGTTGCCAAATGGTTATGATAAAAACTTTATTGAAAACTGAAATCAATAACCTAGAGATTTGTGCAGGACTTGGCAAACTACAGCCTGAAGGCCAAATTCAGCTGCTGTTTTTATAAATAAAGTCTTTTTGGAACACAACCATGCCCATTTGTGTACCATCTATAGCTGACTTCACACTACAATGGCACAGTTGAGGAGTTGCAGCAGACACCATATGGCCCACAAAGCCTCAGTTATTATCTGGCCCTTTGCAGAAAAAGTTTGCCAACACCTTTTTTAGAGAAAATATTATTACATTTATAAAACAGACCCAATGCTTTAGAAGGAACTAGGAAACAGAGTTCTTATAAAGTAAAAACCTGATCATCAAAATTAAAAATTCAATAGATGATTAAAAAACAAAAATATTCCATAAAACAGAACAAAAAACTAAAAGACAGAAGATAAGATGGGAAAGGTAAGGCACTCGAGAGAATCAGTCTAGAAAGAATCACAGTTCATTAACAAAAATTAAAGACAGCAGAGAAAGTACTGTCAGATTTTGTAAAAGTCCAGGACTTAAGTACACAAGTTCATAAATTAAAATGACCCACAATGAACACAGAGACCTATTTCAAGGCACATCATCTTGAGATTTTAAGATACCAAGAGAGAAGGGTAAATCCTAAAAGCTTCCAGTGAGCAGAGAAAGAGAGAAGACCACATACAGAAAAAGAAAAGGCAAAGTAGTATTAGATACAGCAACAATGATAGCAACTGTCTTCAAGGTTTTCAGTGAAAACATTTTTCTTCCTATAGTTTGGTACCCAATTAAACTATCCATCAGACATTTTTCAGAAATTCATAGATTCAAAATGTATCTCCCATATCATCTTTCTTAGAAAGACACAGGAGAACGCATACCACTGAAAGAAAGGATATGAACCAGGAAAGAGGGAGACAGGATTCCATAAAATGGAGGATGCATGCAGGGAACCCCAGAATGGCAGCTTCCCAGCAAGGCTAGAGAGCAAGCAGTTGAGATGGAACTCCAGGGCTGAAGCATCTTGGAAGAAACAAAAAGTAGAATTTGTAATCTGATATGTTTAAATGTGTTTAGAAATATGGAGGCAAATATAAGAGACAGCTTTAAAAAGCTGAATATTAGTAGGTTAGACATGTGAAAGGTACGTTGGGGCAGGGGTGTCTGCTAGCATCATTCAGTTGTGTGTGGCATGCACACCTGTTTTGATGAGACTGGTAAAAGCACCAAGGCTTTATGAGCACTGCCTCTACCTCGCCCTTTCCCACTGCTACCCAGTAAACCTCCCTGCCAAGGTGAACTCAGATGTTACTTGAGATGTAAGGGACTCCCAGAATCATCTGAGTCAAGAATTGGTCTCTGCTTCCTTCGAGATCCCATAGCTGCTGGTATATCCCTATAGCAGTTTCCAGTGGTTCAATAAATAGTTATTGAGTATTGACAATGGAGCACCTGGCATGCTCCTAGGTGCTGGAGATGCAGCAGTGAACCAGAAGTCATCATTGTCCCTGCTCACAGGACTAGCAGTCTGGCAGGAGATGTTCACATCCACAGAGCTCCACTGTGCCATCCCTGAGATCCTTGCTTCCCTCCTTCATCCAAACATCATTAAACAGTAGGTAGAGAACAGGGCTCCTTCCCTGGCTCTACTATGTTTCCAGTATTGTCAGGACACCTAGTCCCTCACAAAGGGGGTTCAGGGAGTCTTCAAATATTTTCTCATGGTTGTATTCCAATGCAACTCTGTAAGTGGCACTCAGCATCCCTGGCATCTCCTGACTCCTGGTCCTCATCTGGGCTCACTGCTCAAGCCAGCACCTACCTCCTGCCTCCCCTGATGCTAACTCAGCTGGGGCAGGCACTCCACCTTCCCTCTTTGGTGACACCATGAAATAACACAGTCCAGTGCTCACAACATCTGACAGCATTTCAAACTCCTCTCTTCCTAAGGACCTTGGCCCAAGGTTGTGGAGCGCA